TTTATTTGTGGGCGGAGTTATAATTGTTTGATTTATTTAATTCACCATTACTTTGTTCAAAATAAAACTATTTAGTTATACTTTGAATTAACATTGATTATATATATGATTAAACTAACAATAATTAAAGTAAAAGCAAAGTAAGTCTGTCAAATTGGCAACGACTACATTTAATTTACCGTTTTTTATTTAAATACAACTTGATTCTGATTTTGTACCAATGCTTTTCTGAATCATCCGTCCCCAAGAGGTTAATGAAATAACACGAATTTTGCTAACACTTTAAATATGAAAAAAAAAATCTTCCGGGAACACTGGAAGAGTTGGCCAACTTTTATGTTCATCCAAAAAGTTAATTACCAGTGTGAAATAATTATTAAAGTGATAATGTAGGCAAATACTTCACGCATTTATCTGCCGTTACCTAACACATGCGAGCATTTACTAGCAAGTCTTAGTATTAGTTTAAATATAATCAGAGATGCCAACTTTCTATGGACAGGGAAAAAATATTTTCTAGTGGCAGTTTATGAATTGTGATTCTTGGTTCAATAAATTTATTTTAGTAGATTTTTATCCACCTCTATTTCTAAGCAATTCGTAGGCTTATATAATTCACCACTTTATAGTTCTCATGTCATGCTATACCATTTAGAAAGCAAGCTAAAATAGTCAAATATTTGCAAAATTTACTTTATATTTATTTACAGTTTTTTAAATTATTTTGGCGTGTCCGGAGCATTTGGCATCTCTGTATAATAGTAGTTAAAACTTGTAAATGTTAATCAAATTTGTTAAAACAAGATTCAAGATTCTTCTACCACATTAAATACAAAAAATAAAATATTCCGGAACATTTGGGAGAGTTGGCAAGTGTGGATCAAGCCTTAACGGGTTAAGAAATCGTGCGGATCTAATCGACAGCCCAATGGAAAACTTGAAGTTTACTTTGGGTTTTACAATGAATTTGATTTCTGAGGAATATTTTATTCATGGGATTTTTGTTTTTGCAATAGTCTACAGACATTATTAGATAGGCTCGTGGGGAGTTGCGTTTCTACCAGTAGTTTTCCCATGTTATTAGGTTACAGTGTACTGTGCGGCTTTGAGGAGAAGTCCTCCAGAATATCTGAGACTGTCTACTGCTATGGTAACAAGTGAGAGCACATTTATAATGGGGTTGCAATGGAGGAAAGAAGGTGTCGATTGGTTTGCCATATTGGCTGATCTATCCACCCTTTGGCGACCTGTTCAAATTCTTGAATTACCTTTAGACATTAGTTTGCCTTTTCTGGAGGAAAAAAAGTAGCCTGAATAATCAGATAAGTCGAGGCTGTATTTTTTTTTATCAGAAAAACATTGATTTCTTTTGATTTGACTCGTTTATTTATGAGTATTAGAGTTTTTTAATGCTGATTAAAAAAAAAAATTTTTTTTTCAATCAACTTCTTGAAATTAGTAAAAAGAGATGAAAAATTTTAAGTTCTTAAGATCTTTTGTCATAGATAAAGGTTGTACTTTCCTTATACTTAAATCTCGTGAAATAATCTTTTCGTTTTGAACAGACCATTTTTAGTCTTTTCACCTTTTCCACAAAATATGAATATTTCATGATAAACAAAATGATCTTGGATGCGATTTAAAAGTATAAAAAGTTCTTCTCAGCCACTGATTCTTTTTCCCTTTGATATTTTTGCATTTATGTATGTAACTAGTTCCATAAAAAGTATTTTTAACAGTAAATAAACAATCAGTTTTTATCATAATGTTTAGAAATAACAAATTTATGAAGAATAAAACCTAAATGTAGAATCAAATCTGTGTCGTTTTTTTTAAATAGCTTTACTTTTGAACTCTATGCGCAATGTTCGCGTATGAGTATGTTTACGTTGAGAGCAATGTATTTAATAACAGTTGTTGAACAGCTAACCCAATTTTTGAGTTCACGACTACCAATGTTCAACTCCATAGTCATTAGTTTTAAATCCAATCCAAAATACAAGGGAACTCTTTGATCACGTAGTGGCAGAAATTTGCCTTCGTGGAGGACTTTTTGATAGAACTAACCTGCGAGTTACGCTTGGAGAGGAAAACTACGAAACTCTTCCACGGTTAGCCTGACGGCCAAGAGCCTCTGATTCCTGATCCGTCTACTACTGAGGACATTTTACGTCGCAACTGTGGTCGATGTAAGCCAGGTGTGGAATTCGTACAGACAGCTAAGACAGCTCTAATGTTTAAAAATCTGGCTGGACAAATGTTGTATCTATACATTTTCTTAACAACAGCATATAAGAAGGTCATAGAAAACTTTAGTAGTGGTAATAAAATCACATTAATGCAAGAAGGAGTTTCCACTTATAAGATACCGCTTTGACATTTAACCCTTTCGGGCCGACTGTCACAAATACGTGACAGCATAAAACCGTTTCAATCAGGGTAAAAATATAAAACTGGTAATCAAAGTATTTCTTTAGCTGTATATTTGTGGGCGGGGTTATAATTGTCTGATTTATTTAATTCACCATTACTTTAGTTCAAAATAAAATTATTTAGTTATACTTTGAATTAACATTGATTATATATGTGATTAAACTAACAATAATTAAAGTAGCAGCAAAGTAAAACTGTCAAATTAGCAACGACTACATTTAAGTTACCGTTTTTTATTTAATTACAACTTGATTCTGATTTTGTACGAAAGCTTTTCTGAATCACCCGTCCCCAAGGGGTTAAAAGTTTGTTTGGAAAAAGTTCATATCTATAAATTTTCTTAACAAAATAGCATATAAGAGGGTTACAAATGAATTAAATGATTGAGGTTTGTCTTCTTTTCGTTTCCATTTTAAAATAATTCTAACTATGTAAACTATGGAATTAACTATAATCGCTATAATAACTCTCTACATTGACGCAAAAATACATCTTTTCGGCACATACTTACTTTTTGTTTACTGAATTTTCTTCCTCGGAGGAATGACAAACCATCCCAACAGGGTATTTTTTAGCATATTTCAGAGTTAATTTGCTATGGTTCTAAAGTAGAATTTATGATTAAATAATTAAAGAGATAATAAATAAAAATGAATTGAATTTCTTGCACTTTTTAAATCTTAAATCACCCGTGGGTACCGGGTATATACCCCTGAACTATTTAGAAGTAATTGTGGAAAAAATCCCATGAATCAAATGTACTAAACCAGGAATCATACACAAAATATAAATGTTGCTACCACTAGAAAATATTTATTCTCAAAACGGTGCAAGTTTGCATCTCTAAAAATTACTAGAGGAGAACGTGACCAGAAATTCATAAGTGGTCATCGCAATTTCTATGCTTAGAAGGACTTTATGGTGTAATAAATTTAATGGCTATTTGTGTTGTTAAGGATAAGGGAAATATCATCACGTAAAATGAATATAAAGCAGTCTTGAAAGTTTAAAGCATTTATTAAGAACCTTCAAATATACAAGGAACAAAGCAACTGGCGGTTCGATTTGAAACACCCGAGTTTTAAAGAATTAAATAACGGTACAGAAATTGACGAATTAGTACCTTCTAGAAAACACAGAAATAATTAATATAAGCTTAGATAACATTTATACATTATCTTCAAGCTATAAAGATCAAATCCAATACCTTTTTCCGCCAGGACAACGACTCTGACCACTCGGCTATGGTGACACATTATAATACAAACAAATTACGAGTTAAAAAAATAAAAAATATTGTTGTATCATGACATATTATAAATTAAAAAAACAATCAAGGTTGAATACGAGTTCATTAAAAATTTTAGTTTGAAAAGATGTCATCTGAAAAGATCAACAATCAAAATTTTAAAGAAATAAAATATTATGAAAGCAAATTATAAGCATATTGCAATAGTAATTATTATAATAATTTACAATACCTGAAGATGATCGATGAAATCTGCGACAACCAATCCTAATGATCGAGTATTTGCAGCTGCTTGCGGATAGGATTGCGCTGCACCCAGGCGCCAATCTACAGATATTATATTGTAATCATCAGCAGTCAGCAACTCTCGAATTAAATCCTAAACAACGGAAATGAGATTTCAATGATTGAACAATTCAAACTTGCAATAATTTAATTGAAACATGATTATAAATATAAAGATTTCAATGAATAAAGCTTTAAGCATTCAATCCTATAATTAAAACATAATTGTAAAGATAAAGATTTTATTGCATAACGGTTTGAACAATCTTTTTTATAATTTCAGCATATTTAAGAAAATAAAGATTTCAATAAATGCTGGTTTAAACATTCAATAATAATGAAGGTTTTAACAGTTACTATAATGATCAAGCATAATTACGAAAATACCAGACTTCAATTAATGGCTGTTTAAACAATCAAATATATAATTACAGCATTATTATGATCTCGAAGGTTTAAATGAATGAAGGTTTCAACAATCATTATTATAATTTAAGCATAATTATTAAAATACAGATTTCAATGAATTAAGGTTTAAATAATCACTAATATAATTTAAACAACAGATAATATATAAGTGCGTGGCCCAACCAGTTCCATTTCCATGTAAGATTCCTTTTCTATATTGCCTTTATTTTGCTTTATTTCAAAAGATTTTTCTTTGTTAATCATTTCTTTGTTGTTTATGCATTCAATTTTCAAATTATACAGGGCTATTCACAATTCCCTCCGGGGCTTCGAAGCCTTATAGTAGAAAAACGAAGACGAATGTGACAAAAAAGATCATATGAAATTATTCCGAAAGCATATAAGGTCTAATTTAAGCAGTTGCCGGTAGATGGCAGTAACATGTACCACTGAAGCCAGTTGTACTAAACATAAGGTTGTAGTAAACAGAGAGAATTATGAATAACCCTGCATATTTGCTACGACAATGATTAAAGAAAATTATTACTATGAATCTCGCGTGTGCCTCAGACTTATGTTTATGACGATTTTTTTTATTTACAATAAATAATTTTAAAAAAAAATAATAATTTCCTGTTGTATAACTAAATGTATCGAATGTACAGAGTGCAAAATAATAAAAACAGACAACAAACTTTACGGTGGAACAGTTTAACGAAGGCCGATACCGCACACCCTCGGTCCCTCAAAAAATTGATCAAAGTTTGCTGTTGGGTCACCCAACCGCAAACTGACTCCTGCCAGTAATGCTTGACTTCGGCGATCTATTAGGAACCATCATTAGATCAGTCCAATGCGAGACCTTAATACTAGTAACTAAACTCAGTGGCGCAACAGCCCATCTCAGTTTTCTTGACCTTGGGCTCTGGGGTGCAGGAGCACATATTCCATTTAGGTGGTCAGCCGAACGCAAATCCTCCAGTGTTTAGATCCCAAGCATGCTTGGTACTCATTTATCGACCCACTGAAGGGATGAAAGGCTAAGTCAACCTTGCCCGGCCCGAGGATTGAACCCAGGACTTGTGGCACGGGAACGCGAAGCGCTACCAGTCAGCCACCGGGCTTCCTTAATACTAGTAGTAATATATTTTTCTTTTTGGTGCAACTTTAATGCTTAGTGGTTTGGCAGCCTTGAATTTTCACTGATATATTTTACACGTGGTGGCCACAAACGTATTAAATGATCAAAACGTGTCTTCTTTCATTACCACTATTAACTTTTTCTGAGCCGTGGTGGCTCAAAGGATAGAGCGCTCACATCCCAATGAGATGACCCGGATTAAATTCCACCGATGGCTGGTCAATACAGTTCTGCGTTCGGCTCATGACCACAGTGCTGACGTAAAATGTCCTCAGTGGTAGACTGATAGTGGGTTAGAGTCCCCTAGCGGTCAGGCTAAGCGTGGAAGGTTTTCGTAGTTTCCCTCTCTATGCAACGCAAATGTGGTTTAATTCCATCACAAAGTCCTCCACGAAGGCAAATTTCTCCCAATACTTGATCCAAGAGTTTCCTTGTCTTCTGGATCTGGTTCAAAATTACAACGTTACGGAGTTGAGCATGGGTCGTCGTAAACTCAAAACTGGGTCGTCTGTTCAACGACGGTTATAAAATATGAAATATTAACTTTTCTAAGATTTCGGCGAACCTTGAATTCTCCATCGAAACCTAACTTCCATTTTTGAAACTCCTAATAGCTTTTTAAATAATGAAAACACAAGCAAATAATTTTTCTGTTTACTTTTTTTATTGAAATAAATATAAATCTATAAAGCTTTAAAAATATTTTCAATAATTGATTAAAAAATATAAGCTATGATAAAGTATTTAAGTATGCCGAAATTGTTTCAAAGANCTCTGAATAAACATACTTTCTTTTCGACAGATTTGGATTTCTGACCCCCAAAATGCAGGGGGTAGCCGCAATCTGGGAATTATGGTCCCCATAGTTCGATCAGCAGATCTGAGAAATCATGTAATATATTATAAATTCGATTTCTCAGAAACTTTTCTACCGATTTCATTCAAATTTTGTATTTTGTCATGTAAAATTACATTCTTTAAAATGATATAAAAAAATTTATACCTTGCAATTCAAAATGTTTTCGACTATTATTAAATAAATTAATATAAAATAATAAATATTTACTTAAAATTATTTTTAATTATTTTTGGATAAACTAATTTTATTACAGCACGCAAAAAGCTTTCAATTCACTTAAAAGAATTTCGAGATATGGCAAAATACGCAAAAAGCAAAATTGACATTAAGGGGGCCAAACTTTGGACCGTTCTCCTGACCGAACTACGGGACCAAACTACCTGCCCAAAATACTTTGGGGGTCAAGGACCCGAATCCGACGAGAAAAAGGCATGTTTATTCAGAGAAAGCGCGCTCCTGTGCCTGATTTCGTTACTTAAAATATCGTCCGCACTAATTAATAAACATATTTGAAATCACACTCTCAAACCATTAAGATTAAGTCCTAGAATGTATAGACCCAATCATTATATCAAAAGTCATTCGAGGTGGTCCGTTTGTTTATTTATTTATATTGCGCGTGATAGCGCGTGGTTTATATTGAAAGTGGTAGCAAATATATGACTAAAAATTTGTTTTATTTATGAATATTATTTGTTTTCCTCATTCACTTGTCCACCACTACACATTCAATTCTCAAATATATATGATAAATTTATCTCAATTACTTTTATAAAAGGTTTTGGGTTCATGCTCACAACTGGCTCACTTTTTAAATAGTCTGCGCGGACTACTAATAAAAGACCGTGTGGCGTATTTCTGATGTAGGAGGTGATGCCTAAGAGCCTTCCCGAACAAGCGGTTTCACCGTTCCACCAAATGATTGGTAGCAAAGAAGTATCGGGTTCAAATCCTGCCATAACTGCGGATGTATCTTTGTGATGGTTTTCTCTATTGTTTATTAAATTGTACAACTGTTATTCAATTTCACTGCCTAACGACCGCCCTTCGTCGTAACTACACAAACCTGTGTATGTATGTGTAACAATATGTAAACAAATTTATTAGACTCCAGGTGTTATATGAGGAGTAAGTAAAGGTAGAATTATGCTTTGTAATCTTTAAGTGGTCGCGTGCATTTTTTTATTTCATTTTTGAGCCCCTGAAGGACCTTTGAATGCAATAGTGGTATAAAGTTGTTATAACCAAGAAAAATCTATAAGTGGTAGCCAAAGTTTCATCAGCTTCATCACCATCATCATATATATTTATATGAGTGCCTGAGTCCGTTTACGATCCTATTCCCATCCATCATGGAGATAGTGACATTGAGGTGAAACGGTTTAGTGACTGGAATGCAAACTGGAGACAACAACGTAACAAATTTAAAATATTTTCCAGATCGTTACAGATATGTGATAATAAATTCACACTTAATGCTAATAGTAGTAGTATTTGTAAAAGTAGTGGCTTATTTAGAGATGGAAAACAGTAAATTCTAGAACTGAAAAATGGGCTATTGGCGACGGTCTGGGGAACATCCCTGAGGATGATCCGAACACATGCCATCGCAATTTCGATCCTCTGCGGAGGAAATGGCTCTTCCACTTTGGTAGCCCAAAGACCTGAGCACACAGACGAGCACTTTACGGTGGAACAGTTTAACGAAGGCCGATACTGCACACCCTCGGTCCCTCCGCAGATTGATGAAAATTTGCTGTTGGGTCACCCAACCGCAAACTGACTCCTGCCAGTAATGCTTGACTTCGGCGATCTATTAGGAACCATCTTTAGATCAGTCCACTGCGAGACCTTAATACTAGTAACTAAACTCAGTGGCACAACAGCCCGTCGAGGGCCAAGGCCTACTGTGCCCATCTCAGTTTTCTTGACCTTGGGCTCTGGGGTGCAGGAGCACATGTTCCATTTAGGTGGTCAGCCGAACGCAAAACCTCCAGTGTTACGCTCCTAAGCATGCTTGGTACTCATTTATCGAATCACTGAAGGAATGAAAGGCTAAATCAACCTTGCCCGGCCCGAGGATCGAACCCAGGACCTGTGGCACGGGAGCGCGAGGCGCTACCACTTAGCCACCGGGCGGCCTTTATACTAGTAGTAATATATTTTTCTTTTTGATGCAACTTTAATACTTCGTGGTTTGGTGGTCTTGAATTTTCACTGATATATTTTACACATAATGGCGGCCACAAACGTATTAAATTATCAAAACGTGTCTTCTTTCATTACCACTATAAACTTTTTCTGAGCTGTGGTGGCTCAAAGGATAGAGCGCTCACATCCTAATGAGATGACCCGGATTTAAATTCCACCGATGGCTGGTCAATACAGTTCTGTACTCGGCTCATGACTACAGTGCTTACGTAAAATGCCCTCAGTGATAGACTGATAGTGGGTTAGAGTCCCCTAGCGGTCAGGCTAAGCGTGGGAGGTTTTCGTAGCTTCCCTCTCTATGCAACGCAAATGTGGTTTAGTTCCATCACAAAGTCCTCCACGAAGGCAAATTTCTCCCAATACTTGATCCAAGAGTTTCCTTGTCTTCTGGATCGGGTTCAAAATTACAACGTTACGGAGTTGAGCATGGGTCGTCGTAAACTCAAAACTGGGTCGTCTGTTCAACGACGGTTAT